GACCATGCAGAGTTCAGCCTTCTAGCTCCTTTCCTTGGGTGGAATGAGAAGCAAGTGGAGAGTGAACCAATAGCTACAGATACACAGGAGACATTTTCTGGATCATAAGTATACAAGGGCAAAGTAAAAATTACTGTCTGAGTCACAGAACGAGGAGTGGTTATTTCTCCCAATGTTCAGAAATTCTACAATGTCTAATTATTTAGCCAAATCATTATATTCAAAAGTAAGACAACAGATGGGTAAAGTGGGAAGCGGGGAGAGGGGGGCGAGGAACACCTAACACTTTCAGATATCAGAAAAAATAAAACAGGAGGTTAATGAAGCTGTAGTCTTCCTTATCCTTAATGTTGGCATGAGGGCTTACGCTTAGTAAGGGCTGTCATGTCACACTCCACACTGAGGACATTACCCACTTCAAGTCTTTAAACAACTCTCTGAGGAAGGCACTATACTTGTCCTCATTTTATAGGTAGGGAACCAAGACACAGTGAGCTCAATGGACTTGGACAAAGAATGCTAAAGTCAAGACTGGGGCTCAGCCTGACTTGAGGCCCATGCTTTTAACTGTTACACTTTATCACATGACATTATACAATATCTTCAACACTGTGCTGTTATGGTTCAAATTTGTAACTCCACTGTTGCCTCAGGGCAGAACAATACTAACTTCTCCACCTGAGAGAGGCCTCAAGCTTTTTTGGTGCAATACAAAATACAACAATTCAATACTGTAGATGAAAATGACATTTCCAGAAATTTTTATATGCAAATTTGCAACAATAATTTTGCATTAATGTAAGCTTTGCATTTAAAAGAGAATTTAACTTTGATGTATAACAGACAAATTACATTAAGACATGAAATCTGTAAGTCATTGTTAAAAAATAGTTTGCTTATTATAAGAAAAGAAAACTTTCCAGGCTTTGATATATGTTCTTATAAACATGAAAATATAATTCCTTTCCTCAACTGTCCTTTTCTATTTCACACATATTGATCTTTCCATATGTTTTAAATAATCACAAAATTAATAGGAACTGTTTTTAATAAATCCAAATCATAGTTGCTTTCATGTCAAAATATTTTGGGGAAGAATGAGGTGAAAAAGTTGCTTAAACATTAGAAAAAACTAAGAACAACCAAGAACAGCTTTAGAAGAGAAACTGAAAGACTGAGAAGGCATATATGGGAACATGATTGCAGTTGGAGGTTCTCTAATAAGGGGGATTGTGAAGTTGGCATTAACAAGGCCAGAGCCCAGGAAAAATAAAAAGGAAGAAGAAATAAAGCCAAGTACTGTTTGACCAACATATTAGCTGTGAATCAATGAAAAAACATACCCAGTGGAATAAGCCAAACCTGAATGCGATTTCCAACAGCTTTTGGAAGATGTAGCATTGGATAAAACTTCTTGATATTTTTTAAATGTTCATTATTCATAAAAGGGTCATGATACTCATCTAACTGAATTGTAGAGAAGAATTAATGGGACAACATCACACAGTCCCCAGTATTAAGGCTGGCATTATGAATTCCAGGGGAAAGAACACCCTCCAATTGCCCCCACCAGCCCACCAGACACGAACCAACTGTGAAGAGGAGGCAACAGAAGACCCCTTCATGGGCAGGCTCGGCACTACTAGAAGTCACACAGAGTTTTCTATATAACAGTTATTTTCAAAGTGTTTATGATCCTAATTATTTTCTAAACCATTAAAAGGATTAATTTTTAGGAAACTAATGTCAAGGAAAAAATAAAGCCATTTCAAAGCATGTTTTCAATCACACTAATAAGTCACAATCCCATACTATATTTGTACTGTAAAAAATACTACTTGGTAAGGTCATTATGTTACCCATTAAATTATTAAGCTACTGGGACAGCTAAACCTGGTTAAAACAATACTAAAAACAATTGTTTTGTAACATACTATATTTTGAATTTTGGCTATTTGGCATATGCATTAATTTTTAGAAGAAAATGACTAAATTTATTTACATAATGAATTTTATTTCAAGTCACATGAAGCTTACATGATTATGTCACTGTACACAGGGCAATTTGTGAGACATCTACTTTATAAGTAGGTTTTTAAAGTTATAAAATTCTTCAATTAGTACAAGCACCACTATGTTTAAAAATATTCCATTTATTTATAATTAAACATCTTATTGGTCACTACTAACATAATTTTGATACTCTCAGATTCAAGAAAGCATTTTGTAAAACGACCATGCCACACACACACCAAAAAGTTTGGGGGGGTCCTCAGTCTTGCAGCAGTTTTTTATCAGCTAAGTTCAGCAGACAAGTGTGCCACCCAGAGGCAAAAGAAGAAAACACACATTTGATTTTATTTGTGAGACAAGACTGGTGTTAAATTTTTAAGAATTATTTGCTATTACTTATCTCATTAAAACATGCAGGAAATTTTAAGATTCTCTCTGAATTAAAAAATCCTTTAGTTCCAGGTTACATGTAAGTGTGGCTCTTTGAGACCTCATAAATGGAAACAAGCCTTGAGATGGGGCCAACCACAGGTGCATACTTTGCCAATTAAAAAATTGAATTTAAGTGTATTCACTGCAGTAAATGCTTTCCTTTCTTTCTATAATGAATATAGCATGTGTTTCCAGAAGTATATATAAGTCCTGAAATAACCACCATGATCTATTTAGACATGTGGACCAAAAGTTAAACTAATTAACCAGAGACAGTTCTCACTTAAATGAGAAAAATTTCTTTCACTAAAAGTTTTTCTGCATAATTTTCTTCTGGCAAAAGAATAAAGTTTATTTAGAGTAATTCTGTTTGGCAGACAGTCAGGGCTTCTAAAAAATATACCAATAATTGTTAAGATTAAAGCACATAGTCAATTCTATTAAACCCACATAAAAATCCAGGTTTCTAATGGCCTACACAATACACTGATTATAAAACAGAGATTTATGACATCCCCACTTTATCTTAGAAGTATGGATGTTGGGATTAGACAGCATCACATTATTTCCTAAGATTTATGTATTTACAACAAATTATAAAAGGTCACTAAATCTTAACTGAAAACATGACATAATATTAAAATGTGAAGTTTTAAGCATAAAACTTGAAAATTTTTTCTACATGCAAAATATTTTTGAAAATAATTCTTATAATTATATTAATTTTTTAAATGCGTATTTCATCTGATTTTATTATTTCATTTTTATACCAACATGCCTTAAAATAATTAGGTGATTCTAAACTCTTATCTACTTATGTGACTTTCTAGAAAATACATAATAAGAAATAATAAATATTTTCTGCTGCCTTCAATTTTTAATTAAATCAGAAGATTATACAGCTGATTAATTCCAACTTTTCTTTCCTGAAAAATCTTTGCAAAACACTCCTTTAAATTAAATCACTGTTAAGTAAACTTTCCCCTCTCTTGGTTCCTCTACTGAGGGATCTCAACATCTATGAAGTTATTTCTCTTCCCTATTTATACCCTTAACTTAGTCATTAACTTAGTCATCCACATACCCTGAATTGTATCATTCTGTAAAAAAAAAAAAAGCTTTTATCTGCAATGATAGCTATAAAATATTGAAGCAGGAAGTATAAATAATTCTACTTCTTTATTTCTACATTTCTCTAGGAAATAAATGTGACCTTGAGTCTAAATTCAGCCTTCTATGCAGATGTTGTGTATGTACTGCTAAATTCAGAACAGATAAGACAAAGACAACTCACTGAGACAGCATAGTTTTAACTCAAGATAAAAGTTCAGCAATTAGAGCTCAAAGTATATGTCAGAGAATATGCTGAAAAATCTTTAAATAGAGCCCAACAGTTGGGAAAGTTCAGGTACATATTAAAGCAACAACAAAAAAAGCTAATCAAAAGAATAGCTTCTTAAATGTATTTTAGGAGAAACAAAAGGTCTGCGTGTCTGCATAATACATTTATAGAATGAAAGAAACACATAAAGGAGAGCTACCTGGTATTAATATATGATTCAGTTCATTCAGAAGTATGAGCAACTTAAAGGGTAAATTCTGAAATACTTGCCAGATCTCCAGTTGGTCAAGAAGACCTAGTGATGATAACATGAAATGGCTTAAAATTTCTTAAATCTTTCCTGTTCCTTACTGCTCATCTCCAATGCTACCATCTTAGTTCTTATCATTTAAAAATTTCATATTAGTTTGACCACTTCCAATTTAATCTGTCTTTAAACCCCAAATCCTACTCTGTCCTACCACTGCCACATTTTCAAATCCACCCTCCAAGTAAGAGTCCAAAATAATCTCTGTAAAGTACAAATCAAACACATCCCTTGCCTGATTGATATTTCCAGATCAAGACAAAGGTCCACATGTCCTGTTTGCATCCCTTCTCCTTCCCATTACAAGTGCTAAGGACTTCCCAAGGGAGCAAAGCCAGGAGTTAGCCACATATGACCCCCTAAATCCAGGGTCTACTAAGAGAAGGCTGTAGCTAAGAGGGGTTTAGGTCTTTCTTTTCCTACTTAACCACAATTTAATTTTAAATTCTTTGGGAGAAAATAAAATCACTCCACATCAAGAAATGTGAGAACCCCTAACGTATAAAGTCTTTTACAAAAACAACCCAATTACTAAAATCACAGTTTTCAGACATCTTTAAATGACCAGAATCACTTGTTTCAAGCAATATATAATGCAGAACCTAAATGAAAAGTGATTGGTTGAGACAGTATTTTGAGGTTGGCAACATAGACAGAGATCAGATCATACAGCCATAGAATTAAATTCAAAATTAGTTGTCACGATGCAAAGTCAATGGGATGGAAAAAGCAGGGATGTGATAAAACCTGATTGACAGTTTTGAAAGACCACTGTGGTTTCTGTAAGAGTTGAAATTGCTGAGAAATTAAACATTTCTGATGTATTTTCATAAATCTTGATATAAGTAAAACATAATATGCAGTTTCCTGTTAATGGACAATTAAGACAAAAAAGTCACACAATACCTGGTCCTCGCTGGTTAATCCCAGGTGCATCACGAGGTAAAAATGCACCAGGAAATCTGAGTTTGGCAGAACGTCCTGGCGTCTGGTCATCATGGCACAGATCAGCCTGTAGGCTTGCAGTTTGCCTTCCTTGTATTCATTTGGCAGTGTCGTTGCCTGCCAAGGAGATGATGTTTCCAGATTAAATCAAGTCCAGATGCAGAGCATTTCGACATTTCATTTACTTCTCAGTTTTCCAGAAGAGTTGTTTATGAAGATGTGGGATGCTGTGACTTTAGTAAAAACCCAGCCTGTCTTCAAAACATGCAGTCTTGGGCAATTACATTTTTCAAACTCAATTTCAGAAAGGAAGAGGAAATTGCTATAAAGAAACAAACACATATCCACTTGCCTTAAATAGCCATGATGCAAACATTCTGAGTGGTGGGATCAAGACTGGAGGAGATGGAGAAGACTGGTTATCCAGGCTTATTGCTAGATTATCCCGTATCTAATTTACAAAGAAGAGAATTTTAAGGAAGGTAACATTCCATTTATTGCAACAGTATTTCAATATTGTCTTCCACAGCTGATTCTAATTAAATTTCTATAAATTCAGTGAAAATCCATAATATTTACAATTTTTTATTTTGTTGTGAAATTTCGTCTGTCTGAACTGTGTCTGACTTATTGTATGTGGTTTTACATTAAATATAAAATTAGGATATTGTTTTTCCTTGGAAATATTAATACCTGGAGAGGTCCTAATCTCCAAATGTTAGGGAATGGCTTAACAAATTATACTGTATGTAATTGAATCATGTTTTTGAAAAAAAATTAATAACAGGAAAAAATTATGTTCAATACCAAAACAAAAACCAGGATGAAAACTGGATGTACTCTTTTGTAAAAATGTCTTTATCTACAGAAATAGAACTATATATTAATATCAGTTATTTCAAAGGGATGGTGATGCATATTTTCTTCTTTGTACTTTCTATATTTTTCAAACTTATACACTAAAACCAGTATTATTTTTATAAAGAGAATAACTAAATCTATTCAATATCCTATTTTTTATATCCTATACAAATGTTCTACTTTTACACTAAATGAAATAACTTCATATTTATACAACATTCAAACTATAATTATTATGATTTACTCTTTGATAATCAAATGCACTTTGTCTAAGTGCATAATTTGTGTTCCAGAATATGTTCAGTAGTTACTTGCAACACAGCTTTTGTATTAATGATCAAAGTTTCAAAGATAACATGGAAGAACATGCCTTTGCTAATTTGTACCAGAGTTCATAGAGATAGCCAAAAACTTTGGCATGGATCTTGGGTGACTGGATATTATTCACGTCTCCGAGGATTCCCAAGACTCTTCGCCACAACACAGCAGCAGAATCTGGGTGCCAACCAGTGAGATTCCCTCCAGCAATTATACTACAGTCATCTGCAAGACACTCGCTGCTGTCTATGGAAAAACGCACAAGTTAACCCTGTAAACAATCTTGGTTTCATCATCATAACTTTTTTCTTAAATGCAACTTACTATGCTAAAATTTTATGTATCCCTAGTAATTAAAACAACAAAATGTAAACTGGATGTGAATTTAAAATGATAGAAAAGGACTAATGAAGAAAGTAAAATCATTTTGATTCTTCACACTCAAAAGGCAACAAGCTAGGGATGAAGTAACAGTTCCTGGCCATCCTGATGAAGCTGGGGATAGGAGGGGGGACCTTAAGCAGAATGGATCCTGGGAATACATGGCTGGGGAAGGCCACATTGTTTGTGCTGTTTTTTTGGTTGTAAGGTCAGGTTTACTGAGGGTATCTGCAAACAAGAAATTTTCCTCCTTATTAGGCTTGAGTCTTAAGGAATGTATGCAGTCATGAAGCAGTCACTGTAAATTGTCCCTGTAATTAAGATATGAAACAGTCCCATTGCTTCAAAAAGTACCCCTCCTTGGTCACTCCCCTCCATTTTCAGCCTCTCACAACCATTGCTTTTCTCTGTCCCTACAGTTCTGCCCCTTTCAGAATGGCATGTCAAATGGAATCCTAGCAAGTAGTCTATGTTCTTTCACTTAACAAAATGTGCTTGAGATTCATGCATGTGACTCTGTGTATCAACAGTCTTTTCCTTATGATTGTTGATTGATATTCCACTTTATGATATACCAAGATTTATCCACTAACTCTTTGAAGGCTATTTAGATTGGCTCCTGTTTTGGGCAGTTACAAATAAAGCTGTAAACATTCATGTACAGGTTTTTCTATGAATATACATGTATATTTCCCTTTGATAAAAACCTAAGGGTAATATTTGTGGGCTAAATCATAAGTGAATATTAAATACATGCTAAGTGGAAGAAAAGAAAGAAATGTCAAGACTGTTTTTCAATGTGGTTATTCCAGTTTCTGTCTCTGAGTGAAGTATAAGAACACTACTTTTGCTCTACATTCTTGCTGTCAAATTTTATGAAGTTGATATCTCACTGAAATTTTCATCCACATTTCTTTAATGAATAAAGCTATTAAGCATAGGAATGAAATCAGAAGCTTGTGGGACAGCTGATCAGAGTCCATCAGGGCAAAGAACCAGTGCAAAGGCCCTGAGACAGGAATGTGCTAGCAGTTCAAGGCACAAGCATGTCTTTGCAATATATATTTAATTAAAAAAATAAAGTTTCATACATTGAAACAAATGGCTAGTGCAAAATTCAATGATTTATAGGCATATCTAATTTCATATCATTAAAATTACGGAATTTTGTTCTTTGGATGTCTATTGCTTTAGGACAGCTAAAGGCTGGGGAAGACTAAACTGATCAAGACTAATGCTTCCTAAAGTCACAAGCTTCTGAATTTTTAGAGAGAACAGAAAAGCAGTCTGGAATACTCAGGCAACACTTAACAGAACACTGCATTGTGACAAATGTATGTATTTTATATATTAATCAAAAGTAGCAAACATTTTGTATTTACTCACTCTTCATTCATTTCATTCCTTGAAGCATTTAACAACTCTTTCTCATGCCCTTTTCTCACAACTCTTCTTCTATTTTTTCCATGACCAAGAATATCCTTTTAGAAAACTTCCAACAGCTCAGATTTTTTATTTTGGATTCCAAATCCCCACTCTGGAGACTTTGCGTGAGGTTTGGTCTCTATCCTAATGTGTCGTGTCGTAACTACGGCTCCCACTATATTCTATTCCCTACCCTCTACTGCTCTTGAGTAGGCTGCCAACAGCCTCCATATTGCTTATGCAGTGCTCCATTTCTAGTTCTCAGCAGCATTAGAATCATATAATTATGCATCTTTTCTGAAACCCAGGTGTGACATTCACCTAGTTTTCCTCTGCTGATTCCTCTTCATCTCAGAGACCTGGAAACACTGAAGGACCCACTCCCCAGGACTCTTGTGTTCTGTTTGTCCTCACTCCCTTCTCAATTTCATATAGACTAATGCCATACAGATTTAAATGACATCCATGTACTCACATCTCCACACATCCATTTTTGGCCTGGATTTATTTCCCCAATGCTAGACTCATTTATTCAATGACGTTGACAGGTCTACCTGCTGAGGACTGAAGAGAAGGTTGGTCCACAAACAGGCAAGGTCTCTAGTGAGTTTAACCTTGTTCTTTTTTTTTTTCTTGGTAAATAAATACATTTTTATTTGGAAAGTGCAGATAAATCAAACTCGAAATGATCACAAGGAGCCTTTGAACACTGTTGAAGTCACTGGAGATTTATTCTGCAAAACTACTGAGATCAGATCTGAAAAGTTCAAATCTTTACACCAAAGCAGAACCCCTATGGTTCAAGAATCTTTGCCTAGAAATACATATGCCTGAGTAAAGTTTTCAATTTGTTTCTTTTTTAGAATCAGTCAGTTTCCCCTCTGTTGCACCCAAATATTTCTTATTTTATTTTCCAAGTTGACAAAGAATATTGATTTTTATAGGGAGAGGCTTCTCTCCAGGGAGGTCAGAGAAGTTAACCTTGTTCTTGAAGAACCTCAGATATATGCATCATGGGTTTTACTCTGGAATTTGAATTCCAGGGAAAACTCCCCAAAGAGTCTCTCCTGCTCAAAGAGTATGTAAATTCTCACTTATTCCCTTTGTTTTCAAGGTAGCATCTTAGCATGCATTGGTGACCCCAGGCTAAAAACAACTGACTTTTTCCATCTCTGGGGTGAGAAGCCTGTGGGCAAAGGAACTCCATCAAGGTCTTAAATAGATCTTGTCTTCTGGTTTTTAGCCCTAACATTAGGGTTGGTGTGAACAACTCTCTAACTCTTTAAGAGAACCTGTAGTTCTCTGCTGTTTCTTGGCTTTCCTTACTACTGACATAAGATTTGATGTTCTTGGGTGTATCCATTCATTTGCCACATGTCACTTGTTTTGCTACTTCTAATGGTTGGTCTTTCTCCTTCCATCTTTATCCTTGTGGATTTGTCTTATTTAATATAAATCCTTTCAGTGTGCATTCAGTTTAGTGCTTAGGGAACAAGTGGGGCTATCTGGTTTGTTCACTCTATCTTTGACTATATATGTATATATTCACAGGATTTTTAAATGCCTTTGTCGGTAATTTCTTTGGCTTTTTTTCCTTTCCTTTTCTTTCTTTCTTTCTTTATTTGTTGTTTTGGTATGGGGAATTGAACCCGAGAGCATTCTACCTCAAACCACATCCCCAGCACTGTTTATTAATTTTAACACATGATCTTACTAAATTGCCCAAGCTGACCTCTAATTTATGATCCTCCTGCTTCAGCCTCCAACATCATTGGAATTATGAGCACACACCATGGCACCCAGCTCTTTAGCTTATTTTAAAAAGCTGCTTAATTTATTTTTTAATTATATCATATTTTATACACACACACAACTTTTTGTTGTTGTTGTTACAGGAATTAAACCTAGGGACACTTAACCACTAAGCCACATTTCCAGCCCATTTTATTTTATTTTTTATTTTGAGACAGGGACCTGCTAAGTTGCTGAGGCTGGGTTTGTGCTTGCAATTCCTCCTACCTCAGCCTTCAGAGCCACTGGGATTACAGGTATGCTCCAACACACCTGGCTATTTTGTAAATTTTATGTTTATTTTTAATGCATTTACTTTCTATTCAATACTTTTCCCTGAATTACTTTTTTTTTAATATTTATTTTCTAGTTCTACGCAGACACAACATCTTTGTTGGTATGTGGTGCTGAGGATTGAACCTGGGGCGCACGCATGCCAGGCAGGCGCGCTACCGCTTGAGCCACATCCCCAGCCCCCTGAATTACTTTTTTAAAAATAAAACATTTCTTTCTTTTCTTTTTTAAAATCAATTAATTAATTTTATAGTAGAATGCATTTTGACATATTGGACACAAATGGAGCACAACTTCTCATTCCACTGGCTGTATTATTACCCTATATACATGTATGATTAGTGTAATCATACATGTATATAGGGTAATAATGTCTGTCTCATTCTATTGTCCTTCCCATCCCCACAGTTCCATTCCTCTCCTCACTCCCCTCTACACAAACCAAAGTTCCTTCATTATTCCCTATCCACCTGCCCCATTATGAATTAGCATCTGCTTATCAGAAAAACATTCACCTTAATAAAATTTATTTTTAAAAACAGTTTTGGATTTATAAAAAATTGCAAAGATAGCATAGAGAGTTCTCATATACTCCACAGTTCCCCTATTATTAACATTTTATATTAGGATGGAATACTTGTTATAATTAACAATCCAATATTGAAAAACTACTATAAAGTCCATACTTTATTTAGATTTCCTTAGTTTTTAAAGAAATTTTTTAAAATATTTTGTTATAGATGGATGCAATATCTTTATTTAATTATTTTTATGTGGTGCTGAGGATCGAACCTAGTGCTTCACATGTGCTAGGCAAGCACTCAACCACTGAGCCACAATCCCAGCCCCACAAAGTTTTTAAACCTAATTTTTTGTTGCAATTGCTCCAGGATCTTACTCATAACAAATAATTGTCATGACTCTATGGTCTTGACTTGTTTATGATAGTTTCTCAGACTTCCTTACAGATGACCTTGACAGTTTCAAAGGAATACTGATGAGGTATTTTGTAGAAAGTTCCTCAACTGAGACCTAACTGATGTCTTTCTCATAATAGGTCTTTTTTGTTTTGTTTTGTTTTGTATTCCTGAAATGAACTTCTCTTGGCCCTGATGTATGATATTTTTACAATATTCTTGGATTCCTATTGCTAATATTCTAGTTACATTTTTTTGCTTTATATGTGAGATGGTCTCCAATTTTGTTTTTATCATACTGACCATGTCTGATTGTTTTAGAGAGCTTTCTTTCCCTTTCTATGGAATAAACTGGGAAAGTTTCTCTTTTATTTGAAGGTTCAGTAAAGATAAAATGATTTTTGATTGTTCTCTCTTTTGTTTTTACTTTCTAGTACA